ACCAGCTGACCAGTAAGTTAACAGAACTGGAACTTCGGTGACTACACATAATGGAGAATACAGTCTTATAAAAGAATTTAGAAGAGTCACTAAACAACTACAACCTACAAGTAGCAACTGCAAATCTTGGGGAGAGGAAGATTATGATTTCTAGGGTTACACATTATGATATTCAAAATCTCCAATTATCAACAAAAATTTATAACACACACAAATTAACAAGAATGTATGTTCCACTCACAGGAAAAAATAAATAAACAGAAACTGTCCCCAGGAAAACCCCGACACTGGATTTACTATAAAAAGACTTTAAATTAACCATCTTAAATGTGCTCAGAGAGATAAAGAAAAACCATAGACAAAGGAAACCATAAATATGATGCCTAGACAAATACAGATTATCAACAAAGATAGAAAATAATAGACCAAACAGAAATTCTGGAGCTATAAAATGCAATCTGAAACAAAAACTTCACTAGAGAGATTAGCAGAAAATTTGAACAGAAAGAAGAAAGCAGCCTCAAAATTTCAAAGTAAGTTTAAAATAGCTCAATGTAGATTATTCAATTTGAGAAGTAGAAGTGGAAAGAAATGAAGAAAAATGAACATATCTTAAGAGGCCAGTGGGCCACTATCAAGTGTACTATTATATGCATAATGGGAATCCAAGAAGAAGGAGGAGAGAGAGGAGCAGAAAAGTTATTTGAAGAAATAATGGCGCAAAGTTTTCAAATGTGAGAAATAACACAAATCAGCATATCAGGGAATCTCAATGGACTTTTAGTTGAATAAACACAAAGACTCCATGACACATTATAATTAGACTTTCAAAAGAAAAAGTCAAAAAGGAATCCTGAAAGCAGGGAGTAAGAAGCAACTTGTCATATTTTTGTACGAGGAATCTTAAGAATAAGAGTCAACTTCTCATCAGCAAGCATGGAGGGCAGAAGGAAGTGGGATAACATATTTAAAGTGCTGATAGAAAAAACCCTGCTAAGAAAGAATTCCATCTGGCAAAACTAATCAATGAAGAAGAAATTAAGGCATTACCAGATAAATAAACTTTGAAGAAGTTCAACACTCGTAAGCCTGTCCTACAAGAAATGCTAAAAGTATTCCTTGCAGTTGAAATAAAAGGACACAGACTCAAAGCTGTAGGAAGAATTAAAGAAAACTGGTAAAGGTAACTACAGAGATTAATATACAAGCAAATATAGTATTTTTGGTTTGTAACTTCTCTTTCCTTTTTTTTTCTCCTTATATGGCTTAAAATTCAAATGCCAAAAATAATATAAATTCGTGTTAATGGGCACTCAATGTGTAAAGACAAAATCTGTGACAATAATAACATAAAGAGATGGATGAGGCTGTACAGTAGCAGAAGTTTTGTGCATAATTCCGACTAAGATGGTATTGATTCAAGCTACATTGTTATAAATTTAAGATGTTAATTACAATCTCCAAATTGTGAGGTAGAAAAAAAAATAAAGGAAATAACTTAAAAAGGTTAAGAAAACAATTAAAAACTTGCAGAAAAGTAAATAAGAATAGAACCAAAATGGACTAGAAAAAATCAATCACACTAAAAACAAGCCCATAATGAAAGAATTGAGAAATGAAAATAAACAAAACTTACGGAATATACATGGCAAAATGAGAGAAAAAGGTCTTCCTTTGACCATAATTACTTTAAATATAAATGAATCAAATGATTCAATTAAATGGCAGACATTTTCAGTATGTATTAAAAAAGCATGATCCAACTGTATGCTGTCTACGAGAGACTTATTTTAGCTATAAAAACACAGAAATGCTGTAAATAAAAGAGATAAGATATTTCATGCAAATACTAATCAAAAGAGATCTGGGCTATCTCTGCTATTATTAGACAAAATATACTTTAAATTTTCTTTTTTTGCTTCTGAAAGCTTTATTTCAGTTTGATCCAAGGCCTGAAAGAGTGCTCCAGGGTAGTTAAAAAGCTGCCCAGTGGCTGGAGAGAGAGATTTAGGCAGAAGCCCTGTTACTTTGCAAGGGGACCTCGAGAAGTTGCTGGGCTCAGTAGGCTCCTAGTTGTGCTTGAAGGTGAGCCTTTCAAAGAGATACTCGCCCAGCTCAGCCTCTGGCCAGCCAGCCTGTGGAGGTTGGTCAGGTGGTCACTCATTTTCTTGATGAGTTTTACTTCCTCATCTGAAAAGTGATTCCCTAGGAGTCACAGAGATGGGGATCTGTGCAGGCAGAACTAAGGGCATGAAGATCCAAAAGGGCCTGCTTCAGATTTTTCTCCAGGGCCATGGTGGCTTCCATGGCATCCAGAGTTTTACCCCACTCATCTTGAGCCAGCTTCTGGATGTCCTGGAAGATAGCATGCTGCCGCACTGGTTTTGTATCTTCAGGAAATGTTTGGTGCTCTCATGCTTTTCCTCAGCCAATTTGCAGAAGAAGTGGCTCATGCCTTTCAGAGCCACATTATCATGGTCAAAATAGAAGCCCAGACAGAAATAGGTGTAGGAGGCCCACAGGTGCAAATTGACCAGGTAGAGGATGGCAGCCTCCACCTCAATGGAATAATCCTGATAAATCTGGGAACTCATGGTTGTCAGCGAGAAGGAGCTAACCACAAAAATGGTGTTGGCTGGTCCCAGAAGCAGGAGATGACTGAGAAGATGGTCCTGAAGGTTGAAAATGAAGAGGAGATTGCAAGGTGGCTGGAAACTGGAAGAAAGAAAGTCCCTAGATCTGTTCCATTCAAACACTGTTGAAGCAAGAGACAGATCCTCAGGACTGCTGAATGTGCTGCCTAGACTTTAAAATTTATCATAGAAGACAAGAAAATTGCATGTTAAAAAAAGGTTAATCCATCAAGAATATATGACAATGATAAATATACATGAACCTAAAACAGAACCCCCAAGACACATGAAGCAAAAATTGACAGAAATAAACTGAGAAAAACAATTCTGCAATAATATTTGGAGACTTTAATATCCCACTTTCAATAATGAATTGAACAAAGAGACAAAATGTCAGTAAGGAAATAGAGGACTTGAACAACACTATGAACAACTGGAATTAATAGATGTGTAGATAATACTCCACTGCCATGAACACCAGAATATGCATTTTTCTCAAGTGCACATATAATATTCTCCAAGGTAGAGCTTATGTTAGGCCTCAAAACAAGTCACAGTAAATATTAAAAGGTTGAAATCATACAAAGTATTTTGTCTGACTACAATAGAATGAAGCCAGAAATCAGTAACAGAAGGATAACTGGAAAACTCAGAAATATGTGGAAATTAAACAACATACTCATAAATAAGCTATAGGTCAAAGAAGAATTTAGAAAATACTCTTTTTTTTTCAGGATAGATGCACTCCTCTTAGGAAGGGAGCAACAAACAGCTGCAGACAAAAATATACCCTATAACCACAACGCAACATGCTAGAAGATTTTCCAGTTTAAAAGACACAAAATCCTAAAATGTGAAAACTGCAGAAGAACTCAGAGGCCACTGTCCAAGTCTGTCACAGTCCTCTGTATGGCAAAGATGAAGAAAACTGGCAATCTTCTTAGGGGTACCAAGGATCTCAGTTTGTAAGCTCTTTATTAATGCAGAGCAGGATGTGGTTTTCCTGCCCCCATTTCTCCTCAAAGCATTTACAGCAACCCCACGTGGTTACCCTCTGTGCTCATGCAGTAACTTGAGGCCAGGATCTCTCAGCTTTAAAGCCTTGAAATCCTATGTGCGGTTTTGTTTGTGTGGAGATGTGCAGTTTGAGGCATAGTTTTAAAAGCCTTGGAATCCTAGGCATAGTTTGTGTAATGGGGAGACCCCAAAAGTGCCGAGGCAGGAACCAGAAGCCTCAGACTATTCCCATATAAATAATGAAGAAGAAAATAGAGATATAACCACAGTAGTTATTCATAGGTAATCTTAGTTATTCATATGTGATCTTATTCATAGGTGATCGTAGTTCTTTTACTAATGCCTTTCAGGTTGCGAAGTGTGAACCTGGGGTGACACTGTGAAAGGAATGACCCTAAGGCAAGATGCTTTAAGCCCTCTGTCATGCCCGTGTAAGGGCTGCTGGAGGGCACCTTGGCTGTGCAGCAGCACCAGCGCTGGGAAAGCTCCCGCTGTTTAGCCAGCTAGGGAAGGAGACATTCGATATGGCCAAGATGTCTCCTTCCTTCTCCAAGCTCTTATGGTAGGGTTGACGGCTGCCAGGTAAGTCCACAGACATCCAGGGGCTTAATTTTCTCTACGTGAGACTATGCTTCAGTGGTCATGTTCCATGTCCACTCTCATGTTCCACTTCTGCACCTGGTTCCTTTTTTCTTAGAAGGGATAATCAGTAAAAGTAATATAAATCTTATTGTCTTTTTTTCTTTCTTGACGAGTATGGAAAAGTGCTGACGCATTATGCTCCTTACCTCATCTCGGCTACTAGAAAGTTCTGGGCTCCTACCTATATGACCCATGATGTATTGACCCTACCACTGACCACCAATGCCACGCCATACCTACCCTGCCCCCAGCTTTGTACTCAATAAAATTCAGAGGATGTGGATACGGGGCCACTGCCAGACTCCACGCTTCAGTTGGCAGTGGACCCCTGGGCCGAAACTCTCTTTTCTCTATCTCTGTGTCTTGTGTCTTTTATTTCTACAGTTTCTTGTCTCCACACCAGCAGAGAGGGGCTTAAAGGACCCTGTAGGGCTGGACCCTACAGTTTGTTTGTGTATAGGTGTGCAGTTTGAGGGATAGCTTTAAAGCCTTGGAATCCTAGGCATAGTTTGTGTGGAGATATGTAGTTTGAGGGGTAGCTTCTCTAAGGTGCTGAACTCCACAAAAGTTCAGAATCACGTCACTGGATCCTGAGCACATCTCCACAGACCAGGGTGCTGCTCAGGTCAGTTGCTGTGGTAACTGCAGCAGGTGGTCCCTTTAGAGATGGAGTCCAAAGACATCATAGCCAAGACACAGAGTTTTTTGGTTTGTTTGTTTGATTTTTTTCCCACACTGCAATAGTTAATTTTATTTTTTCAAGAACTCATATTGCAAGCATTAAACCAAGCATAGGCTTTGATTCTGTGAGCCCAAATTGACATATTGAAGATCAGAGCAAACTGCGATTCATGTACATGGATGAAAACTAAAGGCTCAGAGTTAATCACATTGTAGTTTTTAAACTTCTACAGCCTAGGGCTCAGTAGTCACAGGTCTTTTAGGTCCTTCTGGATGTCCCACAGGGTATCTGCACTTTTCTTGAGCTGAGCAACCTCATCATCCCTGAGCTTCTGGTTGATAACGCTGGTTAATCTGTGGGCATTGAGGATACATGGAAGGCTCAGGAAGACTTCATTCTCGATGCCATACATCCCCGTTACTATTGTTGATATGGGATGAATCCTGGATAGATTTTTCAACATGGATTCGATAAGATCAGCCACACTTAATCCAGTAGCCCAGTTGGTATATCCTTTTAGCTTGATGACTTCATAGGCACTTTCAACCACCATCTTTTGCACTTACTTCCAATTTTCACTATCATTGTCAGTTCCCATTTCTGGATTCAATTCCTGAAGAGAAACACCTGCCACATTCACACCACTCCACGCAGCCACACTTGAGTCGCCATGTTCCCCCAAAATCCATCCATGGCAGCTGCTGGGATGAATGCCAAGTTTTTCAGCCGTAAGGTAGCGAAATCTTGCAGAATCCAGATTACATCCACTTCCAATCACACTGTGTTTGGGTAACCCACTCAGTTTCCAGGTAACATATGTAAGAATGTCCACTGGGTTGGAAACCACAATTATGATGCAATCAGGACCGTACTTGACGATCTGAGGAATAATGAATTTGAAGACATTAACGTTTCTCTGCACCAGATTGAGACTCTCCCCTTCTTGCTGATGGACTCCTGCAGTTCCCACAACAATCTTAGAATTGGCAGTCATGGAATAATCTTTATCTGCCACAATTTTGGGCATCAGAAGAAATAAGCTCCCATGCTGCAGATCCATCATTTCTCCTTTATCTTCCAAAACATCCACAAGAGCAAGTTCATCAGCCAGAGACTTTCCCAGAATGCTGATAGCACATGCCATACCAACTTGTCCAACACCCACTACAGTGATCTTATTATTTGGGACTGTTGTCTCTTCTTCTGCAACTGGTGCAACGAGTTTTTCCTTAAGAGTTGCCATTTTGCACAGGAGAGAGAAGGCTCTGGAGACCGCAGGAACAGTGGTGTGGAGAAGACAATGTCAGCTGCCTGCCAAGACACAGAGTTTTAATATCAACTGAAGAAAGTGAAGACTGGCCAGAGAGACCAGTATGGGGAAACCAGAGGCTCCTCCCCAACCACGATGCTAGGAAGGACTGTCCCCAAGGTAACAGAAATAACACACTGGAGTGATTCAGGTGTGCTAGGTTCACAGCAGGGGAGGGTGAGGAAAGAGCTCCGGGGAGCCTGGCTCAGTCATCTTATCTGGTGCGCCTTTCTGCCCCAGAGATAGTTCTTGCAAAAAGGAGAGGATCCTACACAGACCAAAAATGCTGGTGTCAGGGCTTTTACAAAGTTCCTGTGGTGCTGTAGAACCCGCAGCAAGGTGCTTTTAGCACCCGGTACAGTTCTGCCCTGTCTTCATCCTCAGAGCAGATCTCCAAATTATCATATTTTTGCTCTAGGTCCCAAGAGGGTGTTTCACCAAATATCACCATTAAATAATCAATAAACCCAGAGTCCTCATGAAAAGCAGAGATGAAGTCCAACTGGGCATACTCTGGGTACAGAAAGAGCACAGGCCACCTCAGCCTGCCCTAGCCGTGTAGACTCAGCTTGGTTCTATAGGGGTTCTCTGAGCTGAGTCCATCCAGGAAAAGTTCACCTAGACCTTCTGAGGCTGAGTCTTCATCCTCACAGGCAGCTTCACAGAGCCTGATATTCCTAGCCTTGATGGCCTGGAGTAAAGCCTCATTCTGATTCCTCTCCTTCTTTTCTTTCAAGTTGGCTTTCCTCACATCCCTCTGTTCAATTTGCTTCAGCTTGTCTACTTTAGCCCTCATTTCCAGAAGCTTCTTCTCTTTGGCATCTGTCTGCAGTTCCTTATCACACCAGCTCACAGCCTTGGCTCAGTGTTTCAGTTCCAGAGGGCAGAAGGCACCTCTTATTATTGCTTTGAGGTAGCAGGGTTTTAGCTTTCTGGCAGCTGTCACATCACCGAGAGCAGAACGAAAATTGCCCAGATGATATTGTGCTGCTGCCTGCTTGGTATAAAGGACCGCATTCAAATCAGGATCTTCTTTAATCCTTCAGTGTAGGACATCACAGCTTTCTTGTGGTGTTTTTCTTTAAGGTAATCATTGCCCTGATCTTCATAGGTCTTGGCCTGTTCTTCTGGAGTATGCTTCTCATTAAAAATACTTGACTGGAGACAAGCCAAGTCAGGATTCTCCCTGAGGTCAATTTTTGATGGTGCTTTCTTCATAAATAGGGGGATCTTTTCAAATTCCTCCTCCCACTGGTCCTCCTGAAAGCTGCCACGGTAAGGCTGGCTCTGGAACTTTCCAGGAACGAGCCCACAGCATCATATGAGGTGGGGTCCTGCTCAGGCTGCTCCATAGCCGATGCCCTGCCCTCCAGCTCAGGTCCTGGCACTGTGAAGCATAGAAAATATTCTTAAATGAATAAAAATAAAAATAAAATATCTAAGATTTATGGATACAATAAAAGCAGTGGTCAGAGGGAACATTTAAGCTCTAAACACATTAAACAAGAAGAATGATATTAATAGAAAATCTAATTGTGTATCTTACATAACTAGAAAATGAAAAGCAGTCTAAAACCAAAGCAAGAAGAAGGTAGGAAATAATAACAGAGGAACTATAAAAGACATAGGAAATAGAAAAACAAGAGAGAGAACCAATGAACCTAAAACTTGGTTCTTTAAAAAGGTTAGCAGATTTGACAAACCTTTAGCTATACTAAGAAGAAAAGAGAAGACTAAAATAAATAAAATTATAAATGAAATCATAGATGTTACTACTGACACCACAGAAATACAAAGGATCAAAAGAGACTACTTATGAACAATTATATGCCAACAAATTGGATTACTGACAAGAAATTGATAAATTCCTAAAACATACAACCTACCAAGACTGAATCATGAAGAAACAGAAAATCTAAGCAGACCAATAGTGAGTAGAGATCGAGTCGTAATCAAAAATCTTCCAAAAAAGAAAAGCTCAGTATCAAACAGCTTCCCTATGAATTCTATCAGTCCTTTAATGAAAATTGACACCAATCCTTGCCAAACTCTTTCATAAATTTGAAGAGATGAGAATACTTCATAATTCATTGTATGAGGCTAGCATTACACAGATACAAAGCCAGACAAAGACATTATAAGATTATCTCTTATGAATATAGATGCGAAACCTCTCAATGGAATCCTATCAAACTGAATACAGCAGCATATGAAAGGGATCATACTCTAGGACAAATGGGATTTATCCCAGTAATGCAAGATTGTTCAGCATATGAAAATCACTCAACATGAGAAACCACATGAGTAGAATCAGGGAGAAAAAAAGACCCCAAAATATGTGAACAATTCAGTTGATGCAGAGGAATCATTTGACAAAGTTCAACACTCTTTTAACAATAAAAACACTCAGTAAATGAGGAATAAAAGATATCTTTCATAACATGATAAAGGTGATATATGAAAAACCCACAGGTAATATCACACACAGTATTGAAAGACTCAAAGCTTTCCCTTAACAAGGGGAACAAGAGTAGGATTCCCACTATGGCTATTTCTACTCAATATATTAGTGGAAATTCTAGCCAGGGCAATTTGAGAAGTCAAATAAATGAAAATCATACAAATTGAAAAGAAAGAATTTTTTTCTCTGTTCACAGATGACCTGGTCTTATGTGTAGAAAGACCTAAGAATTTCACAACAAAACTATCAGAGCTAATAAGTGTATTAACCAAAGTTGTAGGACAAAAAATCCAACAGATCCACTCTTAGGGAAGAGTCACTTGAACTGAGGCCAGGAGAGATACATTCTTTTGTTTTTAATGCCTATGGAAATGTCACATTGACTGTCTTTCAGAAAGCAATGATAACAACACAGTCTCTTGACTCAGTTATTGAGTTATTTTTTAGTTCAGTCTGATCTCCAAATCCTTTTGTTTCTGCTACCTCTGCCATCTAAGATCAGGACTTACTGAATTTTCAAAGCACTTTCTGAGGAGTTGCATGAGCAAAACATATACCTGCTCTTGTTTTCAAGGGGCGTGGGAAAGAAGTAAAAAGAACAAATTGTTAATGAGAACACTTTCCGTATTCCTCCCTCCCCACCAATACATACTAGCACCATAAAATTTGAAATGAGTCCAATTACGGCAGTAAGACTTAACCTGGATATCGGAGGCAAAATGTTGGACATGGGCTAATTAATCATCAGAGAGTTACAGAGGAACCTGGATGAATTAAGATTGGGGCAAGAGATAGCTAATCAAAGATCTTGCATTGCAACCCAAGAAGAAAATGCTTGACTTAGTGCCTGGAAACTCTGAGGATAGAATGAAAGGCTGTGTGTAGCCTGGTGGCCTCGGAAGACGGCATGGTTTCCACACCCAGGGTTGGGGTGAGCCTTCTCTCCCTCACCGTGGAAGGCATCTCAGTCCTCCTCAGGATGTGGAGGCTGCCTGTCCCTGGCCTCACTTCCTTCTATGAGTGAGACTGTGCCCCCTTGAAGCCCAAACTGCCCCTGTGATGGTATTTGGAGGAGAAGCCTTTGGGAGACAATGAGGGTTAGATGAAGTCCTAAGGACCTCCATGATGGAATTAGTGTCCCTACAACAAGAGCAACAGACCCCAGAGCTTCCTCTGTCTCATGGTCCTGTGGGGACAGAGGCAGAAGGTGGCTGTGTGCAAACCAGGAAAGGAGCCCCCACTAGGGAACCGCTTAGCTGGTTCCCTGACCTTGAACTTCCAGCCTCTGAAATGGTGAGGAATAAATGTTGGCTGTTTAGGGTGTCCAGGTAATTTGTTATAGGATCCCAAGCCAAGACATACACCTTCTCAGCACCTGAGCCAAGTAGACAGAACACAGGCTTTGGTGCCAAGCATACCTGCACTTCATCACATACCTTGTTCTGTGGCCCGTGGTCAGGCACTACCCCGGTGACATCCCACCTGGATTAGAAAGTCCTTCTCATGCCACATATGCTCCCTGCGCCATGGGTGGTTCCCATCGAGGTCTCTAAGGCCACCAGCCATTCAGATGCTTACACGGCAAGTGTGTGGGCTGCGGTTGGGCTCCTCAGTGGTCAGGGACATGAAAAGCTACATCTCACCACCTTCCATTCTTCTGCTATCCAAGCCCTTTGTATTGAACTCTTCTAAGTCTATGTTATGAGCCAGACCCTCTCACCCCCAAATTAATATGTTGAACTCCTAACCCCCAGGAGCCCAGAATACATCTAGATTTGGAGATAGAATCTTTACCAATTGATGTTAAATGAGATATTTAGGGTGTGTCCTAATCCAATGTTACTGGAATCCAATATTCCTTATTAGAGGAAATTAGGACTCACAGCTAAATGACTATATGAGGACACAGGGAGAAGATGCCCTGCCTACAAGACAGGGAGAGAGGCCTCAGGAGAAACCAGCCCTGACAACACTTTGATCTCCGACTTCCAGCCTTCAGGACTGTGAACACATTTCTGCTGTTTGAGCTGCACAAGCGGCAGTCTTTGTTACAGCAGCCCGAGCAGGCTGATACAGGCTGTCACCACTCAGGGCTTCCACCGTTGCTTCTTGTCAGGATGCCATTTCCTTAGTCTCCATGGGGCTAACTTCCATTCCCTTCTCAGGAATTCACTTGAGCATTCTGAAATGTTCCAGGAAGACTTCTCTGCA